ATAAACTGGCTCAACTTCTCCTATTCATTTAATTCCATACTTCAATCCTTTCTATACTTTAATGGCTACAGTGATGTGTTATGTCAATAAACAGTGGTATATGGAGTGGCATGTGGGTGAACAATGTCAATACTCTACACAAAAGAGAGTCTGGCCTAAAGATATAAATGACATGACAGATACCAGCAGCATGTTTAAGTTCCTGTCAAATGCAGCCACAGACTGGATCTTGAAATTAAACTGTAGTCTCAGGCAAAGCTCTTTATTTATGGTGAAGGATGACTATAGATTTTCTGGCATATAGCCAGATTATATGCAACGAGACAACTATTTTTTAAAAAATCCACTGTTTGACACTGCCAACTTTTCAAAACCAAAATGAAAAGGATTCAGGGCATTCAAAAGGAGTTGGGCGCTACTACACCTCTACCCCGATATAACGCGACCCGATATAACGCGACCCGATATAATGCGAATTTGGATATAACAAGGTAAAGCAGTGCTCCGGGGGAGTGGGGCTGCACACTCCGGTGGATCAAAGCAAGTTCAATATAATGCGGTTTCACCTATAACGCGGTAAGATTTTTTGGCTCCCGAGGACAGTGTTATATCGAGGTAGAGGTGTAATTCCTCCCCAGCCAGAACTGGGGACATGTGATTTTTAAAAAAATACCAGTAAATTATCCATGCCTTTTTTTTATATAAATATTCTCATTCCTTTAAGATCTTACAAGGTTTTTTCCCCTCTCTTTTCAATACATTAAACTTTCTGATTTTGGCCCCAATTCTGCACTTTGTTGCATGTGGGAAGACTGCTCCCCTCCCTGCAGAGATCCATTTCCTCAGCATGGCTGTGCATGGGTGCAGCAGTCTGACAGTGCACAATGAACTGCAGGACTGGGGGACCAGCCTTTCTCCCTTTACTTATGTTTACCATCATTGATTTCTCTTTCCCATCAAATCTCTTCACACCATTATCTTTCCACCCTCCTTTTCTAGCCCCAAATCCTTCATATTTGCTTCTTGTGGCATGGAGACCCAAGTGCAAGTCCTGTTCACGCTCTGCCTTTTCAAATCAGTGGAAAGACTCCCCTTGACTTCAATAGGCACTAATCAGGTGATAAGTTTGGGTGATGGAGTGAATAGGAACAAGTGTAAGTTGATAACTATTATTTGAAATTATACATGAGGGCCTGATCCTCCTCTTGCTAACACCATTGCCAAGAGAGCAGTGTCCTGCTTCCCTTTTACAATTCAGACAGACTGAACTAAAAATGTTATTTGTAATAAAGCTGCAGCTGGTTCTTAGCTAGTTAAAATATGTTCCCTTTCATACCTTGCCCAATGCCATTTCCCCAATAAAAGATATGCAATTCTTTGTAATTTTAACTTAGAAACAAGCAGTCATCATTATACATGGTTTTCAATTGTGGAGCAGGAACAAGGAACTGTAAACCATCTTGTGAAGGTAAAATAAAATATATAAGTATTTAATCTATTTAGCATTACAATGCAGCTATAACAGTGCCAAAATCCACGGACTCAGTTTTTTTTAAATAGTTCTTGTTTATGATAGCTAGGAAAATTGCCAAAAACTTATGCATGCTTTGGTGATTTTAAACCACATGTCAACCTTATACCCCTAGGCCAAGTATCTAAGGTTACATGCTAAGGACCCTAAACTATATACATGTCAATGGAAGCTGCTGGCACACATACAGGGACAGAACCTGACCTTCAGTTTAAAGCCATCAGTGACAATCTAGGAAGCTATAAATGTATTCAATTCCACTCTTGAAGCACATGTGTAACTCTTCAATGTAGATAGGAGATACACATGTACCTTGAGGGGAGAATAAAACCCATTGTGATGTTACTGCCAGAAAATGATTACATTAGATCTTGTGTGTTCTAAGATTAAACCCAAGTGGCTTCAATCTCAGTTAGTGTATACCAGCATAGGTCAATTGACCTCAGCGGAGCTTCTCCAGTTACACTTGGTGAGGATCTGGCTTACTTCTATTTAATTAAAATATTATGATACTGTAATTTTACAGTAAAACTGCAGTTGTGTGGAGCTCTAGCCCCCTCTGCATAAAATAATGATACAGTATTAACAATAATAAATTGTGACCAACAAGAAAATGTAGCTTTCATAGCTAAGCCTAGAAAATACATTAATTTTTATCAATTACTTCATTTTTAAAAATCATGAACTCAACTACAGAGTAGATAAATGCTCAGAATCTTGGTATGACTCAATGAAAGGAAATATATATTATGAAATAAATCCTGTGAGTAGTGGCTACACTTATTTCAAGTAACAGTGGTCTACACTTCTCTATTGCCCAGTTTGCATAATTATTGTAAAACCGAGTTATAGAAATCACTACGTTTAATGGTTGTAATAAAATTAGATACTAACAAAAGGGCACATAGAAAACACAAAGCCACTTTGTTTTACAATGTCAAACATCACAAGCTTTATTTGATATATTTTCATGGCCTAGAGCAGTTTTTAACACCTGTCACTACAGGTCAGATTCCTGTCATAAGGAATCACACTAAAACAAATCATCATGTTGTTTTTTCCTAACATATCTATCCAAATTGATAAAACTAAATATGAATTGAAGGCATTTTGCAACTGCACAAATCTGCCTGCTGGTATTTAAGTGGCCTTTGTAACCCAGGTTTGAAAGTTTTTAATTGAGTTTATGGCTGAATATTTTTTCTTAAATTTGCAATATCAAATCTAGGTTCCACAGTTCTTATTCTATCATTTAATCTACAAACTCTGAAAGTTAGAGTAGTTAAATGTCATCAAACAGGTGAAATCTTGACAGCAAATAGAAGTATTTATGGAGAGTGACTTGGCCTATTTTTTTTTTTGACCAAAGCAAAAGGTTACTGCAGGGATTAAATGTCCAATCCTGCAAATGCCTCACTTGAATAATTCTGACTCACCCAAGTAGTTGGATTGACTTCAATTAAAATCCTTTGGAAAGCAAGGAATACTCACATGAGTAAAGGCTTCCAGGCCATCATTCCACATGCACCATTTTGTCCTGTGAAATTGGCTATTTTTCTTTTGATCTTGGTTTAAGTTTTATTGGTTACATTTCCTTAAAAACTGTTTATAGCTGTGCTCTCCATTTGTAAACCAAATAAAATTAATCACTACTATTATTGGAAGCAAACTCTAGGACTTCCAAAAAGTTACACATCCGGAAGTTCAAATAATGCTTATGGCAGTGTGATTAAGTTAGCTCACCTTTTGACCAGGCAGCCCTGGCAAACCTGGATTCCCATGTGGGCCTGGAATACCCTATAAAAACGAGAAAGAGCGGGGTTATTCAGAACTACACCAAACAATGTTCATTACTTTGTGGAAATATTGTACAGAGAATCATCCTCAAGGATCACTGTTCCATCTAAAATCATTGGCAAGGATTTTCAAAGGAGCCTAAGGGAATCAGTGTCCATTTCCCACTGAGATTAAATGGGAATTGAGCACCTAACTCCCATAGACTCCTTTGACAGTCTCAGTCATTAACTTTTTACTGGGATCCCAGGTAATTCAGGACATGCATATTAGAGCAAGCTCATTGTGATGATGACTTTTCAGCCATAGAATATCATACGATGTTTGGGATAAAAGGAAATCCTAAACATCACATTACTGAGGTAATCCCTATGTACAGTATATAAAGTTCATGCAGTTAGGAATTATAACAATTAATTCTCCAGATCAATGGCCCAATGCTGACATTTTTGAGAGTCAAAGTTAACTTTTATATGATCAACATCCATTAACTTCAATGAGAGTTCCATGCAAAGAACATCAGGAGTATATGGCTAAATTGACCCATCTGTGCTTGGAAAACAAACCACTGCTGACAGTGATTGTCAACAACAGGACTGGTGGAACATGGGATCTATAATATTTCCTGCTATGGGACAAAACATGTTTCCAGGCCATCCACACTAGAAGTTAAAAGGTTTCAACACTGGGTATCTGATCCTGCAAGGTCCGGAGCACTTTCAACTCTCATTGAAGCCAGTCCTTGTAGAATTGGGCACTGGGGGAAATGGTCATCACAATGATTGTCAGCAGCTATTCATCTATGACACATGGAAGAACCTGAAGGATAAAATCCTGTCCCCACTGGTGTCAATGGCAAAACTTTCATTGACTTCAAGGGGGGCCAGAATTTCACCCAAAGAGTTTATCAAAGGTACCAGAAATAATAAGAATCTGTTTTAACTCTCTCAAAACATAAAATACAAATTCAATGAACTGTTGAGACAGACATCATACTTTTCCCTCACAACTCAGCGTTTACCAATTATACCGCACATTAACACTGAGAGCCTCACAGTTTAATGCTTCCTCCAGCGAATAACCATGTTGATGTAACTAAATGGAAATGCTGATCCCAGCCCCCTTTGAGAGATTAATGTGCACACAGGCAGCTTTCGGGTCTCTCTCAGGGATTTACAAGAAAGAGGAAACCCGCTACTTAAGGTGCCAATATAATTACAGTGGGGAAATGGCTCAGAAAGTTTTTAGAGCTTTGTTGGTTTGTTTTGCCAGGGTCGAGGAAATGCCACAACAACAAGGGAGAGCACAGTGGTATTCTGCTCAATAAAAGTTGCCCTAGGAATTCCACCTCACTGAGGATTAACATACATCTCAGATAAAACAGTATAAAACAAGTCATTCTGGAGATATGGGTGACCAACAAAAATTATTTGTTTCAAATCCTGAAAACTCACTTTTTTTCTTGACGTGCCCTAACTCAGACTCAGCTTGGCTGAGACACTCAAAAAAATTTTTTTTTTACATCTCCTCTGTGCAGAGGTCCCATGTGAGAAATTTTATACAGAAAGGAACTTTTCTAATAAAGTTAAAAGTGGTTAAAATCAAGCTCCTGAGGGAAATGTATCACTCTTAACTAAGGTGTCACTACTGAGACCGTCGGACCCAGGCACAATTAAGGGCTGAAGGAGTGAAGCACGGGAATCCTGGGGAAGACTAGGGCCTGAGGCAGGAGGATCCTCACGCAGCTGGGAGTAGTGGGAAGGAGTCACTGACACAACAATCACTGTGCAGCAAGTAGAGCAGCACACAGCTGACTGCTAATAGCTGAGTGCTGCCACGGAAAGAAGAGAGTTCCTTAGATCCCAGGTGCCTCTATTCAACAGCTCAAGGCACGTCTCAGTATGACTAAAGATGACTCAAGGGACAGAAGAAAGCCCTGGGTGAAGGTCACGTGACAGGCTCCATGTCTGCTCAGGAGGGCGATGAAGGGCTTTCTTTCACTGGGAGGCCAAAGTTTTCAGTGGGTCTAGGCTCAGATAACCCACCTGACTGTCATACCACATCTGTGTATAATGTATATTCTACCTATATAATTTTCTAATAAAAACCTCTATTTTGGGGAGTTCATGTTATATCTTGCCCATAAAAGCCTCACGTCAGCCTCAAGTTTAGCACACAAAAGTAGGGCCTCGGACCTACTTTTCAATGTAAAAAATAACAACCAACACTTGCTGGTATTCTAATATTTATGGGCACTATAAGAGCTAAAGTGCAACAATGACTTTTCAAAAATGAAGTTTTCCTGGCCCTTAGCCCATCACCTGGACTAGTCTTTGCGGCAACATTTAAGTATGCTTTTAAAATTCTATTTAAATCACAGTTACTAATAAATCAAACTGGCCCTTCTCAACCTAGGCTGTCTCCAGACGCTAGCCGCCCCTCTCTAATCTAAGCTCCCCCACTTCCCATTTTGCTTTTTTGCATGTTCAACTCCACATTGAATTCACAAATTTCACACTGTGGAGCTTTGTGCCCCAGAATGCACTGCATCCATCAGAGGTTAAGAAATAGGCATCTGAAAGAGACAGCTTCAAGAGATATAAAGGATCCTGACTCCTACCTCTACTTTTATAATGGTATCAGAGGGAATCAAGCAAGTCTGATGGGCTTTCTGACTGGCCATGTGACAGGATGGTTTTACATTTTTAACATGTGGTTTATTTGGGCTCTCTCTTTATAAGGAATCAAGACTGAGGTTATCCTCATTGAATTGCCTTAGCATACAACATTTTACCCTCTCTCTTCTTCCTCTTTTTCTCTCTCCAGTAAATGTGCAGATAAAATCATAGGACTGGAAGGGACCTCGAGAGGTCATCTAGTCCAGTCCCCTTCACTCATGGCAGGACTAATTATCTAGACCATCCCTGACAGGTGTTTGTCTAACCTGCTCTTAAAAATTTCCAATGATGGAGATTCCACAACCTCCCTAGGCAATTTATTCCAGTGTTTAACCACCCTGGTAGTTAGGAAGTTTTTCCTAATTTCCAACCTAAACCTCTCTTGCTGCAATTTAAGCCTATTGCTTCTTGTCCTATCCTCTGAGGTTAAGAAGAACAATTCTTCTCCCTCCTCGTTGTAACAAACTTTTATGTACTTGAAAACTGTTATCATGTCCCCTCTCAGTCTTCTCTTCTCCAGACTAAACAAATCCAATTCAGTTCCATTTTTATTTTTTTGTTCCTCCCCAGAACTAGGAATACTTCTTGTGTGGAAGTGAAGGGACAGAGCGGGCTGGGGAAGGACAAAGACGGGCAAGTGGTGATGATTCATGAACAGTATTTAAATACTTCCCTCCACCCCACAAATTAGTGCAATGTTCTGTTGTTCTAATTTTTACCCAGGCAAGAGAGGAAGTTATCTTTTCCCCCCCCTGTATTTAGAGACCAGCTGTATAACTTGCTCATGCAGTATGGTTGCAGCTCACCTAAACTTGGGAGGAGAAACTAGTGCCTTCTAATGAAAGGAAAAAGCCTTAGCTCATTTCCCCCTTTTTGAGTCTATGGAGAAAGAAATGTCTATACCGATGGGAAAAGATCATCACTTGCTCTAAATCCTTTCTTCTTAAACCTAATTCAATTAGCTGGTGATATCCCCCTTTCCAGCCACCCATTTCAAATGTGAGACAGCATTAAGGAGCATAAAGCTGTACAACATGCAAATTTTGTTTTCAACAAGCTACAAAACAATGGCGTACTCAAATGTTCGTTCACAAGCACTAGCACAAGTAAACCCGCCTCCCTAAGATACCTCCCTCACATCAGCTGATCTGTCATACCATCTGCCAAATACTTCTACCCATCCTAGAAATCCTACGTCTCATCTATCAACCCTGCCAGACACCACACTCCATTCCTAAACCCATGACTACCCACTCCCCTCCAGCCTGCCCAGCCTTCTAGATCATCCAGCCCACAAATCCTTAACTACCCTCTCCAGGTGCCCAAAATCCCAGATTTCCTTCAGTGAGAAATTCCTGATTCTTCCCCAGCCATTTCCAGAGGGCTTCAACATTTTATAGTATATATGTGCGCGCGTGCGCGCACACACACACACACACACACACACTATATATATATATATCAAGATGTATTAGCTATGGTAAAAGTTACTTGAAGAAGCTACAGACACAGAAATTATGCTTTTATTGAGCTGCTGTTAACCAAGAAACTAAAGCAGATTCTTAGAGCAATTTTCTTTCTAGCCAGCAGTGGATAATTTCACTTTCATTGTTTTCCAGTCTGTAGCTGTGGAATGCACTATTCTGGGAAGCCCACTCCCCATCATTCCAAAAAGCAAATGAACCTGACCTTCTCAGCTACAGATGGCAACACTGAAAAACTAAAAAACCAATGCTACAAGTAGCAGCATAACAGTTATACTGCAAACTAAATAGCAATTTGTGGACACATTTACTCAGAATACCTCCTCTAGGTATTTATTGTAAAATACATGTTGTTTTATCTGTCTTGTCTTACTTTGTTTTAGCCCATTATATGCTGAGATTAAAGAGCAACATCTTCCTTGCTGACTAGTATATGAATACACTCCACAATCAAATGATGATACAAAGTTTGGTTTTACTATCAATGTCCAGTATACAGCTATAGAAAAATATAGCCCTTCTACTCACCCTTGGACCTCTCTTCCCCGACAGACCAGGTAAACCTGGAGGACCTGGGGGACCCTGGAGGGACAAAAACCAAATAGTTAAAGTAAGAGCAGACCAATCATTGTGCTGCAGGTCATAATCTGACTAGCCCTCCTTCAGCCACCCAGCTGATTTTCTGATTACAAAACCTTCTCATTTTGAAAGCAAAGCTCAAAACTAAAAATACAGTGTGCTTTTTCCCAATCGGGCTCCCAATTGGAGACTCATGGTTAAAATTATGTTACACATAAAGCTTGTAACTCTCAGTTTGGTGCATAACTTAAATAAATTAATTTTTATTACAGGAAGAAGAATCCATTTCAAAGTCTAAAACCAAGGAAACACAATGTATTTCAAAAAAAGAGAAAACAGTTAATTTACTAAATTAAAAACATGGCATACTAATTCAAACGTTTACATCCCAAACAATGTATATATCATTTGAGGCAATTCAGACAGTTAATCACTATAAGAAACTAAGTAATAATAATAACCCATAGAAAAGAAAGATGAAGAAATAGAAACACCACAGACATGGTTGAAGACTTATTTGACTTCCCAAGTATGAACTTCTCATAGAAATCATTGGTAGCACATTATTTGATTCTTTACATTCATATTTTTGAACTGATATAACTCCTTTCAAAGAAAAAACATTTTGATTTTTACCAAATAAATTCATATACTGTTTTATGATCCGATGTAACCTTTGCAAATAGATTTGATCATAAATAATTGTAACAATATTAGGCACAGTACCATGTTTGAGCTAGGTAACAGCTTTGTCCCTAAAACAGATCCCTTTCCTTTTACGTTGTACTTATTAACTTTTGAGAGCAAAAACAGTGTTTCATCTGAGCTCAAATTATGGGGAGAACTCTAGGCCAAATTCTGCACTGGCTTGTGCTGCACTGCATGCCATCACTTCTACTTCAATGAGGTTGCATGGGAATGGGGTCTAATTCAGGCCTCCACCTTTAAGAGCAAATCAAATTCCCATCTCCATGCAGGTGAAGAGGGCCATGGCTGTAGCAGAATCAATACCCTTTCACAGCAGAGGCAGGTGAGTGGCAAGATGTTAGGACTTTATACAGGCAGTCCCCCTATGTGTCACACAGTTTTTCACTGGTGGGGCTCACTGCCTCTGCTTCCCAGTATGCAGGGTGAGAAATTGAGGGTTGGGGTGAATCCAGAGGCTACTGCAAGCCCTAACTCTGCATTACCAGTTATGGAATGGCCTGAGGGAAGGATTCCATCACCACTCCCTACACCAAGACCCCAACTCACCCCAAGATCTCCTGCACGCAACCCAATTACTCAGCTTGTGCACTGGGTAAAATACATTAAATAGCTCTGACTGTACTGCTTGATGCTGTTCAAAATTATTTAAAATTGGGGGAGAGATGAAGGATAGCACCAGGATTATTACTGTGGCTGAGACAGCAATAAACAACCTGTGCAGGAAATGTAAAGATGGTTTGTGCACAGTACTATCCACATAACTTCCCATTGGTTTTTATGAACCCCTTGTGCATAATTTTATTATGATTAAAATTCAGAATAAAAATGTTAAATCTTAGGAAAAATGAATATCAGTTCCCTTTGAAATAGAAGGATAACTTCACTGGCAGGGAAGCCAACACTGACTAGGGACATCAGTCAATGACAGATCAATTGTCTTTACTGGAGTAGAATGTAGATAGTGGCTTCAGGGAGACCTCAAAAGGCTTTCTGGGAGTACAGGGGAATAGTAGGACAAGAGGTCAAGCCCCCGTACAGTGCTAATTGTTCAGGTAGTAGGTTTCCAGCAAATGTAACCCCCATGAAATGAAGAGAGTAGACCAAGAAGGCCATTTAAGTAGCGACCGGTGCACTGTGACACAGTAGAAAGAAAACTGTGTGCAGTCAGGATCACAATTATAGCAACCCTCATACACCCTAGCATTGTGCAGGTAGAGGTTGGCATGGTGGAGGTCAACAGGGTGTTTAACCTTGCCTAAAGCAAGTCTAGAGCTAATGCAGTTGCCTGTGGACTGTTAGGAACATTTGTAGGTGTGGACATATGGTGCATTACAGGCATGCTACAGGGACCAACCATGACCCACTGGTGAGTGTATGTTACAGGTTCCCCTCTGTGCCTGATCAGAGGAGGATGTGAGTCTGTTACACTGGCTGCTATAGGCCCTTGGCTCTATAGTTCATGCTGTAGCAGCTCATATTTTTAGCTCTTTAAGTCCCCAGTTCACACCCTGATGAGTCAGCCAAAATGGCAGGCATCACACAAGCACTGGTTAGCATGCCAAATTTCTCTAGCATAGACAAGGCATTTGAGTGAATTTCACTTCCAAGAATAAAAAAGAGCAGACAGACACACAGAGCTTGACCTGGCATTCTTGTTGAGGGAGAGTTCCAAAAATATAACTAAAAAAAGCCTGGAGTTTCCGCATCTTGTTACATCTGGAGGAACTGTTTCCTATTCTTTCCTTTTTGAATAACTGAAGTTAGGAGATGCACCATGCATAGAAAGTTACCCTGGGGCTACACAAGGGAAAGAGTCAACTACATTTCTTCATAAAAGGTGGACAAGTAAAATATTTTGACGTTATGGTACATTGCTTTTTTAATTGTAATGTGAAGCTCTTTCTATACCCTATTTCAGACACTGATTACATTTGCTTTAAAATAAAGTGTTTTGATAGCTGGAATCCCTATTTTCCCCTTATAAAAATACTAATGCCTATTTACATCTCTTCGTGATCCTTGTTCCAGATTTGTTCGGTGCGGTTGGATGTGTATTTGGGCCTGTTTGGCTTCTAATTTTTAAAGATTTCTTTTTCGTTTTATTTTGTCTTTTGTATAGCACCTATGTGCTATGCACTAGGCAACTTATGAATTAATGAAATAATGAGTAATTGCTTTTATTGGTCTAAGGACAATGAATGGTATAATGCTATAAAAAGAATTAATTTTTCTTCATAGGGCATAAAGATCTGATCTATGGATGCCACCATTACAACAAAACCAACTGCCAACAATTCCTAGAACATTGCACTTAGTAGCCAGAATCTTTATAAAGATGTGTGAACATAAACCTCCCCACTAAGGTTCCTACCTCAGAACTGCTCAGCTCACCCCCCATCGACCTTCTCTCTAAATATTTACTATCGCCTACCTTACATCCAGGTGGGATAATGAGCAACCTGCTACTTGAGTCAGCAGAAGCCACTTAAACCTTTCTCAACATAATCATTTGCTACTAGGGTAGTGTGTTTCAGGCAAACATTGCTAGCCTACTACACCAACAGTTTAGCCAGTTGGTTAAGTTATTAACAAAAACACTCCTTAATTAAATTAATTGAACTGCTGCTACTTCAAATTGACAGCGGAGCAGTATTAGGAAACAGATGTCCCTGTTTAGCTAAAGCAACTACTGAACTTATTGTATATTAGGTGGAGACCATTGGAGAGTTTGCTGATAATTGTTTTTCAATTATTCGCAAGTTACACCACTGCACAGAATTCTACTGCCTGTGGAAGTAGTTACAATAGTTACAGCTTGAAACCAACTTATTTCTTCTGTTTTTATACTGACATAGAAAGTTACTTCTAGATACCTACACAAAGACTCCCAAGAGCTTCTACACAACCAACGAAAGTCACAAAGTCAATAATTCCAGAGTCAATCTGATATGTTCCCAACCTAGGAAAATTGGTGGTTTGTTTCAATAGTCTTTCCTCCAATAATTATAAACTGTAATTAATCATTAAACAACTGCATAGCATATTACATTTTATATGATGAACCAAATCATTGTTTGGTACATCAAACAACATAATAATTGTACATTATCTTCTAAATGGTACTACAGATGCAAATTGAAAATAATAACTTGGTTTAATGGGAATGGTGTAATAACAATAATTCTTGTATATTTTCCTCATGTATGTTTCTAATAAATGCTTGAGTTTACTGTGCACCTAAAAACTGTGAAAGCTTCCTTCAGATGTTGAGAAATACTACAAAAGTCACAAATAATTAGGGGCCAATCCTGCAAACATTCAGGCCCCAATGACTTCATGAGGACAAACTCCTGCACCCTCATGAGTCCCCTGACTTCAATACAGCTCCTCATGGGCGCAGAAGTACAGTATCTGGGTCTTACTATGACACATAGGTCCCAATGGGAAGTTTTGTGATTGAATGCTATAGTGCAGAATCAGACCCATAGTGCTTAATATCAGGTGTAGTTCCACAGTAGTAAGTACTATACTCAGTAGCTGGCATTTGTAACATCAGATCCTAGATGGTGGTCTAGTTACAGTTCAGCACACAGAAGTCCTACTGACTTTAATGGAAGTTAAATGTGCAGAGTAATGATAGGATTCTCTCTCTTAAGGTGTTGGAACCAGTCACTACCATTTCCTTTTAATGAAGAATTAAGAAGTGAATGAATTCATATTCATGTTTGATTTCAACTATGCCTCCTAGCCAATCTTGTAAAACACCTAAGTGCTGACAAAGCAACGTATAGTCCTGAAATAAAAGAATCTTTCAGCATTATGTAGGATTATTTTTATGCCACTTCATTTTCAAAATTTCCAGCCAAAAATAATGGCAAGCACTAATCCCTACAAATTGCATGGAAGTGCATCATGAATCACAATCGGAGGGTATCCAATCAATAGTGTGACTGGTCACTTTCTCCTACAGTTATGGAAATCTCTTCCATGGTGAATTTCCAGGATTGCTAAAGTGATACCATTAACATCAGAGGTCTGTATGCAAGGCATCGTGTACCAGATCCAAATTTCACAGCAAAATCCAAATTCAAAAATTTAGGCTTTGTTTAATTAAGTATGAAAATAAATAATACATAATTACAGTACATCTTCCATTACTTATTTTGCTATTAAATTCTGCTTACTGTATTCTAGCCCTAAATTTTCAATAAGCTGGCAGCGATGAGGATGGAGGTTTTTGAAACTGAAGACATGGGGTATTTGGAAAGTCAAGGGAGATGACTTACGATTGTGCAATAAGCACATTAGCTCAATTTCCATTAAAATGACCAGCAATGGAATGGTTAAAGATGATGACATTTACTTATATTGTCATATTTATGTTTCAAGTCAACAGCCTCTTTGGGGGAGGGTCCATCTTTTTGTTCTATGTTTGTACAGTGTCTAACGCAATGGGGTCCTGGTCCATCACTGAGGCCCTTAGGGATTACTGCAATACATCAGCCCATTGAGGTGAATGAGACAGTTCTTAGTCAGGAAGACAACATTGCTCCAATTTATATTCATCCATATTTGGAAGGGGATTTTTTCAATCATAAATAAAAAAAACCCACTAGCACTTATGTATTTTATTGAGATTTATAAAAAAATACTAAAGAAAAGGGTGCCTAACTCAAACACCATCCATAAATGAAAGCTTAAATTTCTGTAGCAAAGGGTGAATTCCATAGCTGTGGGATCATGGAATTCAGGGGGCCCTAATTATACTAGGCAAGAGTCGGTTAGGGTGGATGATTATAAAGCTAAAGCAAAGTTGAGGAGTTTGAAAACCACAAAAGCGAGTTATTGCTTGTCAACTCTAATAGACTGAAAATTATTTCTGTGTTGAATCCTTGAAAAAAAGGTTTAAACCAGCGATGACATAATGAAAAAATATTTTTTTTTCATGTCTCGTCAGCATTTTCATACTGTGATGGAACTTCAAAAGTTCTTTGCTGCTGCTTTCTCAGGTTTTCCAGTGATGAGATTTTAGGAGTAGGGCTCACATGAATCTATTCAAGTGTTGGTTTGGAGGTGAATTACTGTTCAAGGGAGCAGACTTAGTGAGGAAACGGAGTGATGTGACTGAATAGATAAGAACCAGATTATCACTGGCTCCTTCAGAGGTGTACAAGATTCAGAGAGGGAGCAAAGAACATTCCCCATGAAATAGGGGCCAATCAGAGTGGCAGTCCCTGTGTTCTTCTGGATTTACGGGCTGCATTTCTCCAGAGATCCCATTGGTGCATGTTACCTCCAAAACCTTATTGTAGAGAAGGCTAGGCTCCCTTCAGGAGCTCCTGCTGTGGCAGTAAACTCTACATCTTCCCCCTATGCGAGAAGAAGGATGGTCCTGTGGTGAAGGCATTGGATTGGAGCTCAGGAGATCTAGGCTAAATTCCTGACTCTTCCACAGATTCCCTCTGGGTTACCTTGAGTAAGATACTTAGGATCTATGACCCAACAAAGAACATAAAAACGTAAGAACGGCCACACTGGGTCAGACCAAAGGTCCATCCAGCCCAGCATCCCATCCTCCGACAGTAGCCAATGCCAGGTGCCCCAGAGGGAATGAACAGAACAGGTAATCATCAAGTGATCCATTCCCAAGCACATTTAACTTTAAGCATGCAAGTGGTCCCATTTATTTCAATAGGAGTACTCACATGCTTAAGGTTAAGCCCATACCTAAGTGTTTTGCTAGATCAGATCCTTACGTTTTCTGCATTTTCCAGTTCCCCTTCTATAAAGTGGGGATATTAACATTTCCTTTGTCTATCTTGTCTATTTAGATTGCAAGACCTCTGAATCACAGACTGTCTCCTACTACATGTATGAACAGCACCTAACACAATGGGGCCCTGATTGTGGTTGAGAGCCCCAGGTGCTATTGTAGTACCAAGAATAAACAATATGTCCCATAAAGATTTCAGTGCTATTTGTGAAAGAACAGATTTGATTTTTCTGACTGACTGAAATCTTGTCATGCAATTTTTTTGCATTATCCTTTCCAATTCAACACAATCTATTGGTAGTTATAAAATGTCCTCATCTTTAAAAACAACAATTAACAACATCTTGATGACAGCCAAGGGCTTAACGATATAACTATAGAAATATTGTTACAAAGGGCAAAAAACAACAAAATGAAGGACTGGCCTCATATTCAGGACAAGCAAGCAAGATCACTCATGGATTATCTTTAAATTACTTTTTTAACACATCGTTTCTTAATTGTCTCTCTAGCCCTTAGCATCTGGATCTTGTTTAAAGTAGAAATTGGGCTCTTAGATAGGATTTTTAGTTGCTGATGACTAGTTTTATGAAAAGATGTCTGCTGCACTGAGAGAGAATACACACACTAAATTTATGGACTTATTCAAACATATTAGAGGCTGCCTGACATATATCAAATAACTTTCCAGTAATAACCACAAACACACAGAGGAGCACAAGTGGAATTATCTACTCCGTGCTATGGTTTCTGGAGCTCAACCAGAAACTCAAATAAGAATCAACTATCATATTACTCAAGTTAAGCATGTTGGGGAACATTCTACAGTCAGCCTGCAATCTCACATAAATTAGTTTCTATCTGCAAATATTAGGAAGGTGTTTGGATATTGCACATATAAAATAAGAGGACATTTAAGTTCACAGTAAAGAAATACAAACATGCATTTTCACACATTTCAGAAGTTGCTTATCACAATAATTAATTAAATGCATTTTGTGATGGAACTGCAAAACAAGGGACTGCGGTTCACCATTCCCGGACAATGGGAGCTGCATGACCCGCCAGGGGCTTACCCTGAACAAGCCATGAACCAAGTTTGGGAACCACTGCCCTAGGGGCTTGGGCTACAGAGTGGCCTCAATAATTAGAATTTTAAGTAGCATCAGAATGCTCTAAATATATGGTTATATTCAGATCCCACAGGAATGGAGTTCCTGATTTAGATTTTGTGTTCTGTCTCATGCAAATATTTTCTACCTGAATAAACTGTTTTCCATCATGTGATTATCACCTCTAAGCGTCTACACTGCAATTAAAAACCTGTGGCTGGCTCATGCCAGCTGACTTGGGCTTGTGGGGCTTGGGTTAAGGGACTGTTTAATTGTGGTGCAGACGTTCAGGCTCAGGCTGGAGCCTGGAATCCAGGACCCTGCAAGATGGGAGGGTCCAGAGGTCAGGCTGCAGCCCGAGCCCAAACGTCTACACTGCAACTAAACAGCCCTTTAGCCAAAATCAGCTGGCATGGGCCAGCCGTGGATGTCTAACTGCAGTGTAGACATACCCTAAGAGTGCTGCTCATCTGAGAATCTTCTATCATTCTTATAAGAAATTCATTTATTTTCTTTGGCTCATTTTATCCATTTTGGTCACGCTGTAGTTTTAACACTTATGTACTGTATGCATCAACCCTATAATTTTATTAAGTAGCTATTTATATCTAGTGCAGTTATAAATATCTTGCTGCATTTCAAATAAAAAAGGCACTATATCTGGTTTGCTTATCATTTTACCACAACTGAGTGTCTTCGTACTCTGTCAGTGTACAAAAAAATACATTTATGCCAAAAGTACATTCTGGACAGCACATCTTACGGCAACCATACATTTATACAGTACATTAAGAAGTTTCTGTCTCAGTTTTGCCATACTTTTCAGAGCTTATTTCAGACCCTTCTGTTAAATGTGTGTTGCTATAGTATATTAATGTTTATAATAAAGACAACTTACTGGGGTCCGGTTTCCCCTTTTGGCCCTCTTGTATTCTCCATTTCAAACATTTTGTTAAGATCTTCATAATCATAACTGTAACTTTCAACATCAAATTCATAACCGTTTTCTGCATCATAAGTCTCATCAGCATCAAATGCACCTTCCTCCCATGGATTGAGCTGATTATCCAAAGACAGGTCTACGGTAGCCCTGTATAGTGTGGTATTTAAGATTTGTTGCATTTCCAGGGGTTCATCTGAATGCTGCTTGGCCTTTACCTGTGTTTTTGCATCTTTGATCTTACTCTGTTTTACAGGAGAAATGAGGGGGAGCTCACTTTTTCCGCCTGCATCTTCTGTGGCATTATCTGAACTATTTTGAGGTGATCCCAGGGTTTTTTTGGTGCCATTCCTCTTTTTGATCAAGCCCTGTTGATGAATTGACAGACTGAAGTTTTCCTGGACACTTGCTTCAGGTCTAATTGTTGTGGACTGAGGTTCAGATTTTGCAAGCTCCGATGGAGTAACAGTTCTTAACGCTAAGGATTCAGGTAGGGAATGGACTGGTGCAGTGTTGTTAATAGGAAGGTTTAATGCTTCTTTCTGTGTGTAAAATGATTTATGTTCAGATTGGGTGTTGTCACCAAACTGTTTGCTTGGAAAGTTTACAGACACCCCAGCTGATGTGTCGGGAGGTGCTGGCAGAGATCGGTATGTTTCAGCTTGGCGACATTGCTGTTTTACATATTTACAATAGTTTGCAGAGGCTTGTGCAGAGGGGATAATATCCAGTTGACATATTACTCCTTCAAAGCTGACAGACTGAGAGTTCATCCGTCCTAAGGTAAACAAACCATCCAAATCAAATATCTGTACTTTAGAAAGTGTTTCCCTGCTGTAATATTTCTTTCCACACTCAGCAAACATTGAGACTGTCTTGTCTCTAATGTCAATAGCAAATGAATGCCATTGTTCATCATGAATACTGTAATCAAAATATACAGACTGCTTCCCTCCAATATATACCACTACCTTCCTTGGTAGCAACTGTACACCAAATAGCAGTCTGTTTTTGTTTCTAATACTGAAAAGAAAAGCATTGTTTACTCTATAAGAGTGTAGCCCAATCAATAATGTGAATTGATTCCCTAGACTTGATGGTATGACTTGAGTGATAGGGGATTCAATGTGTGCATCTCTGGTTAAAACAACGCCTGATGCTGTTAAGTGAACCCCCTGAGGTAATGGAACAGATGACAAGGGCATTGTAGACACTGTTGATGGATGTTGTATGTCTTTCCCACCAAGGCCTAACTGGTGAAGAACATCTATGCCTGCAAAAGAAACAAAAAGAGGGGGGGATGTATTATTGTTTTGTTTCATGCATATGCTCATAAATTGATATATATTCATATATAGCATATAGACACACACACACACACACTAATATCAATACCAGCATCTGAATAAAATTATATTTCACAGAATGTCACTAAATCCCAAAGTAAGATGCATCAGTCAGTGATTTAAACGGAGAGCAGAAACCTGACTAAAGTCAGCTAAACTGATGAACAAAACAATCCCCAACTTGCTTTTTAAAACCTAAGACCCCGCTTGTCTCCTCACTTGATTCACCCACAGGAGGTGCTATGAGGGGAGGAATCTGTGTGATGATTCCTCCATAGAGACACCCCCCCACACACCAGGCACATCATTATCCTATGGTGGAGGGGAGCTGCCCTCTCCGCAAAAGTCCCACTCCCAAATTTGACAGGAATTGAGGCAGAGAGTACCCATGCTTCCACTTTGGTTCTGGCCTCCTACGCTCCCCTGGCTTCGACAGAATGACCCCACTGCAGGCATGTTGCCAAGGCCTCTCCCCAGCCATAACTCCGGCTGCTGTATAACATGGAGATTGAGAACTGTCCATGTACATTTATTCCCAGTACTACAATGGGATTACAACTTGGTGAGATCACTATCACAGCACTCTACACTCCAACAAGCTCCCAAAACTTAAAACCATGGAGCAGCTAATTTACAAAATGGAATAGTTCCCAATTCCCGTCCTCTCTCTGTTTTCCAACAGACTGAAAGCAGAATCCCCACTTACTCTAAATTCACATCATCACTACGAATCTGCAACTTTCAAGCTGGCAAGAGGTCATGTATTACTTACATACCACCACAGTACCCACCTTTAAAATACTTATTTTAAGTTAGACAAAACATGCTGCCCTTTTTTCTGTTAACCACCCATGCTACAATGCTTTACCCTGTGGCATAAATAGCATTATTGAAAACACAAGGTATAATTTTGTTTAAAGACGGATGACCAGCATATTAGCACAGCAACAGCTCACCAAGTACCATAAGGGAACCTCCAGTTAGGCAGAGAGGTAAGCCTGACAGCGGAGATATTGAGTGTATTGTGGATATGCTGCATTTGGTATGTGATGAGCAGAGCTGCTGCCATTCCATCAGGGTGCCCCACCCACCATGCAGTAATGAGGCTGGCTTTGAAGGAATGGGCTAGCCCTCAGTTGCAGATATCTGTGCCACGGGACAGTCAGAGGAAGAGGAAAATAAAGGTTTCCCCAGAGGGACAAAGGGTGATGGCTCAATGACAACGTTTGTACTCCTCTTCCTCTGCTGAGTTTACTTGTAAAGGGCATAGAGGAGGTAAGCCATGAAAAAGCAGTCTGACCATGCAAAGGAGGAATAGGCCAGGTGAGGGAGGGGAATCAGCAGGACAAAAGTGCCAGTGCTCTCCAACGTTTGGCTCTTAGGCTAAAAAGTCCCCATCCTGCCACCATCCTTTCTGTTAATCAAGAAGCTGCAGCTATACAGAAATGATTTAAACTAGGATTGCATTATAGCGGAAGAGAGAAAAATGTTGTAATCCATTAACATGTAGCACTCACGAGATTGCTGCTACAACTGTGTGGATCACTTCACTTCAGAAGGATCATTGCTGTACAAACTAGTTTTGGCCCTGAGTGGGGAATAAAAGCCTATTTCCTCCAAGAGGGTGAATATATTCTGATCAATTAATAGAGATGAGAGAGTTGGCCTCTGGTTGAATTTCTTTGGTATCCAACAGCGGGACCCAGCTATTACTCCTGACTGGGGAGAGATTAGCATTTTCCATCGTATTTTGGCAGAGGGTACCTTGTGCTATGTAATTTGTGTTTGCATTATGTAAATAAAGTTGAGGCTTTTTAACTATTAAGTGGTTTAAATGAAATTGGGAGTGGCCAGTGGAGGCTAAGGATTTCTGCCAAGGTTAAGGGAGTGGAGGCACAGCTACAAATAAAATGAAAAGACAGCAATTGAAACAAATGGATATTCACAATATTAGATTTCCTTTTCCAGCTCTCCCACTTTCTGTTTACTGAGCATATTAGTAGCAAATGTTAAGAATAGACACATCTTGGCTCAGTTTCTATAGAAAATACAAAAAAGCTGGAGATTTCCTTGGAAGTATTTTAAAAATTGGAACCAAAAGCATAAACCTGAGTGCACTGTACAGCTTGAAAATTAATTACACACCTTGCAGTGGTTCTAGTCATGTTAGAGAGTTTGCAGTAGTGCCAAGCTTGTACTGGCAGGTAGCCAACACAGACCGGGACAACAGAAAGCATATCTTTGGAGAAAATCTTAGATACCTGACAATTTCTCAGGATGCCACAAAGTAATTACCGTATATACTTGTTCATAAGCCGAATATTTTTAGTAAAAAAGTGACCCATCGAAGAGTGGGGGTCGGCTTATAAACAGGTCTACACCAAAATTTGATGATTTTAAACTCTATGGAATCATTGAATTGAATATCTAATACATTGTCATTTTGTTTACCTGGAGCGTCTGTAGGCATGGAGCCCCTCAGCTCCCTGTGGCCGTGGTTCACCGTTCCCAGCCAATGGGAGCTGCGAGAAGTCGGCGCCACTTCCCGCAGCTCCCATTGTCTGGGAATGGTGAACCACGGCCACTGGGAGCTGAGGCGCTCCGTGCCTGTGAACACTCCAGGTAAACAAAATGTCCAGGCCCACTAGAGGCTTACCCTAACGGGCCAGGAGTCAAAGTTTGCCAACCCCTGAAATATAGGGTCGGCTTATGAAAGGGTCTTATAGTTTTTGCTATTTTTACCTATCCATCTTGGGGGGGGTCCGCTTTCCCACCAAGGCCTAACTGGTGAAGAACATCTATGCCTGCAAAAGAAACAAAAAGAGGGGGGAGTGTATTATTGTTTTGTTTCATGCATATGCTCATAAATTGATATATATTCATATATAGCATATAGACACACACACACACACCCTAATATCAATACCAGC